AAAAAAAAAAAAGCAGCTGATTTCCTTCATCTACTGACACATAAATGTCATATGTTATCTTTCTCTTTGTTGATAAAAAAAAATGTCATATATTATGTTATCAACAAAAAAACCCTAATGAATGCTACAAATATACAAGTTCGAGGCTCTTATTCATCGAAAAAAACAAGTTTTGAGTCTCTTCAACAAGAATGCTTCTATTTAATTCTACATATATTTGATGTCAGCAGCGGCTTAACCCTTCAAAAAAATTTTAAATGTCAGCAGAGGGAAGTACTTGTCTGCTATACCTTGATTAAGACATGTATTTACTTTTGTTTTAATTTTTGCCCCTTTTCCTTTTCCTTTTCCTTTTCCTTTACTTGAACTACAATATGAGGAAAACTACATCCAATCCCCAGTCAACCTAATGAAATGCCTTCTCATCTTTGAGCCTATAACCTGAAAAATCAAAAAAATTCATGAAGATACGATAGCCAGGAGGGAAGGTAAATTTTAGCATGTTGTATCCTGTATGTTAGTATTTCTTACGTGAACGTGTTAGGACGGTTACGCGAGAGCTGTGGTCGCTTTATTGGAGACTTTATCAGATTCCTTAAAGTCATTGAAGGGTTACTACCACCAGCTCCGAATGCAGTTTGAGCACCAGCTCTTCGGTTGCCAACATCAACTGGAATAGTTGTTTGTTTTAATGGTGAACCACTGGAGATGTCGAAGTGACCAGAGTTTGAACTATTCTGTCTTGCTGGCCATATATCTTCTCGAGCCCCTGGAGTTCCAGGAGAGAAAAATGATAGTTCTGCAACAAATAAGTTATCTGCCTTGGAGAAATGTTTATGCAAATATGACTTAAAAACTAAGCATGGTATAATGATAGCGAGAAGAACCAGGAGAACTTGTAGCCATTTCAAGACTTGAACTGAACACTTAATTTTTCCTTGTAGGTCCAACGGTACCAACTTAATATGATACGCATAGGCACCTTCAATGTTGTTCAATTGCTGCTGCAACAAAATAAATAAATGAATAAAACAAAAGAACAAGAGCTTACCCTTTCTGGTAGGTTCTCTGCTGTTCATCAAGTTAGTTGCTGGATTGGAGAATATATCTGGCTTTTTTCTTCCAAAGAAATTGTTGACAGGTTGAATGGCTGATCTATTCATTGACTCGTAGTCACTCTTTAATTGATCGTACATTTCTTCAAGTTTTCTCTTCCGTCTGGAATTGGAAAGCATACAGACTATCAGGTTCAAGTACCACACCATAACCTCAAGGAAATAGACTAAAAGGGTTTAACAGAAGATATAGAATGACCTTGATTTCTCAGCAAACTTTTCTTGAAGCTCTTGCTTATCCTTTGACAGATGTTCAATCTCCTGTTCCATCATTTGGCACCTTTTCGCTGTCTTTTGATATGCAGTGTGAATCTGCTCCAGTTTCTCTGAAAACTTTTCTTGCATTGTCTCACATTTCTGCCGAAATTGAGCTACAATTCTGTTCATCTTGTATTGCATTTCTAGTTCCTTTTGCCCAATATAGAACATCACACTTCTGTGTGCACTCTTCATCACTAGGTTCATGTAAGGAAATTCATTTCTGAACGACCATTCTTTTTAATTGATTGGAAGACCCACTCTCAATTTAGTAGGAATTTCGTTAAATAATAAAGAACGTTTTTAAGAGAACTACTAAATCTTCTTTTCATTTTTGCTTTTCTTTAGCTCTGTACTTTTTGGTAAATTTGAGTTTCTGAATTGAAGTAAGGATACATATCTGTGGAGATACTCCAGCCATTGCCATCTGCAATAAAAGGCATTAAACAAGCAACCATGTAATTGATTAAAGAATAAAGCATAAACACCATGAAAAATAATGCAGAGCTAAAGCACAGTCTACTGAAGACCGGATTTAATCAGTATAAGGTACAAGCTTAACATTACATTCCAAATTAAGTGCTTGCTTACATTTATCCATTCATCATTTGGGTTGATATCCACAGGTTTTGTAAGACTGAGAAGCAGAAAGCCCAGATGAGGCTATTAGAATCCCATTTAATTAAATGCTGCACTAAAGTAAGAAAACAACAATAAAGGGCTAAAAGCTGCACTAAACACTCAACAACCAAGATGGCGAATCATAAAAGTAGGTAAACCATAATTTTGAAAGGTGAAAGAAATTCTATAACAGGCCACTAATGCCGAGTGTTATTTTCTTGAACTAGTCTTCATGCCACATAGTAAAAGTTCTCTAGTGATTTCACTTCTAAAATAGATCTACCGTACATGTATCGTGTAAGCAACCTAATGCATTTGAAAGTGCAAATGCCAGGTTTCTCCACATAAATATTTACCTCTTAGAGAGAACTTGATCACAAATGGGACATGCTGCATCGTTACTTAGTATCTTGCCAGCATCTTCTGTGCCTTTTCATAGTACCAACCATCAAGGAATCTTTTTAAATGCACCATTTCCTTCTTATCAAGCAAGTTAGGATAAAATTTGTAAAACTGCAATGCATAATAATAGCCATAATTAGGATACATAATAAGTGACCACATGTAGTTGAAATGGCCTGTCCTTCCAATTCTTGCCAGCATGCATTGCATTTCATCTTGAACAGTCAATATCAGTCTGCAATTCTACAATATACCTGCATGCCAAAACCTTACATCAAGGAGGATATTTCACTAGGGTATATAACATTCTACATAAACTTTTAATTACACTGCAGCATCAATTAAAGGAAACTAAAGACAGGTTCCAGAAAGGGGCACTAATTTGTCTTGATGAATGGAATTTTAAACTGAAATCTCTCAGAGGTTTTTCATAGGTAAAGAGATATAATCTAAGATAGAAAATACTAGTTGCTGCACCATAGCTGAATATTAGATCTGGATAAGCGGCAAAATATTGTTCCCAAAAAATTTGAACTTTCGATAGTGACCAAACCATATGGACTTCAAACTAAATATTACAGGAATTTTATAAGTCCAGTAAGTCATTATGGAAAAGTTAATATCTCAACTGATAAACTGAGAACTGCTACTCACTACTCAGTTTTGTTTGACAACCAAACATTCAAAGGTGTGGAGTGTTGAATGTTTGATAATGAGTAACAAATGCGAAACAAAATAAGCTTAATTGTATATACAAAAATGCTTTGGAACATGATAGCCAAGAACTAATTATGAAGGCTGATGAACAATCCATCTAGCCTTTAAACAACTGCAATTTCCTAAACAATTTGTTTCTTTCAGCCTTCAATTTCTTCCTTTTTTACAGGATGTAGTGCTATATCTAGATTCTAGAATCTCCATCCAAAGTCTAAAATCCCCAAATCACAACCATTGGAACTGCAGATACTCAAAGTGATATGAAAGAAATTTTCAGTGATGAGAACGAACATATAGACAGAAGTATCTGTTAAGTTTTCCTGCAAATACTTCCCAAAACTATATTCTCTAGCCACAAATACTGACTGAATTTTACACTGAAGAATTTGATGTCTCAATTAACAGAACTATAATGAAGTAGCAATCATCATATACAGCTCCTAATAAGTTACAACAGGAGGCCAGAAATAAGGCTGCTGAAAATGACTAATTTATACATTTGAACAGACAATGAGTCACAATTGACAAAAACTTATTCCCAAAATTTTCCACTGCCATTATGATATTAATCTAGGAAATTTTAAGAATAAAGACTATATTTTATGGTCTATCAATTATTAATGAACCATGGCTGAGAAGACATCCATTAAATCTATTCCGTGTTTCAACATTACAAACCCTAACAAATGAAGCTGTTCCTCCTACTCCTACCAGTCTCTCTTGATTTAAATTTCTGAAGGTACGTAACGTAACCATTTAATTGATGATAACATTATCATCTTCACTTTTTTACTAATTCATCAATTTGTTTGAAAATTTTCAAAGCCAACGCAATTCTTCTCTGTTGAAAAAAAAAAAAAAGGGACGATTCTTCTCTGCCTCAACAACGGCAGTCGTTTTCTCGGTTCCAAACAATGGAAAAGACTATTTTTCGTTAAAGATCTCAAAAATTTTCTCATGTTCCTAACTTTCTTGGAAACCAAACAGACTAAACTGCTTTAATCGCCGCTGGGTTTTACCTGCAAACCGACCTCAAATTACTGTGAAAATGCTACTTCCTTGCTCCTTAATCAAATCTCCTAATGAATACTGCAGAT